TTAATTTTTCTGAAGAAGGGTCTAGGCCCGAAACGTCAGCCTTCCTGCTCCTCTGATGCTGCTTGGCCTGCTGTGTTCATCCAGCTCTACACCCTGTTATCTCAGAATACAGATTGGGATTGGTTTCTGGTTTCTCAATTTGATATTTAACAAGATTTTCCGTGAGCTGAAGACTGCAAAAAGGAAATCCCAGGGTTAAAGCTGATGGGAGCACTTTTCTTTTGCAAAATATATAATGAGGCAAGTCTTCATTTACATTACTTTCTTGGCTTCCTCAGCTGTTTCATTGAACTTATGGCGACCAGAAGAAACCCTGAAGAAAATCAAGCTCATTGGCCATTTCTAAGCATTCAGTAGGACATTTCAATGGTTGTTGTTCACATTACATAGGTTTCCTCAAGCTACATTGAGTTATGGTACAGTGATATTGCTGCTTCAAGGGAGGTAAATTCTGTTACGTTAACATCTTCATTCAAAAGAACTAATAACGGACAGTAATAGCCGAGGGAACTAAAGACCCAAGCACCTGAACGAGAGGGAGTATTTCAGCGAAAAGTTGAGAAATACAAACAAAATGAGATCAACTAAAACAAAAGAATTGCAGGTGTGGAGATATGGAAAAAAAAGAGAAAACACTGGCAAAACTCAGCAGGTCTGGCAGCCTCTGTAGGAAGAAAGGAGAGCTAACGTTGAGTCCAGTCACACACCATCAAAAAAAAAAAGACTTTTTTGTGCAGTAAAAATTCTTTAAAAGCATCTCCCAAGCTGTAAACCTTATTATCATGTCCTCTGGAAGTTGATCAAAAACCTTTTGACATTTACTTGCTCCCGTTTCTTTCCTTAATTGGTGCATTGAAAACTGTGCCAAATCTTACCTGGTGGTTTGAATAATGTGGAATTTGTTCATTAAATTAAGTCTGAACCAAAGAACAGCACCACAAAAAGAGAAGGATATTATCTGCATACAAAAGGAACTGGGGCGGGGGGGGGGGGGGGGGAAGAAAGACAAGAAATTTAAAATGAGAATGAAACAGGGTTAAATAAATTATATTTGGTATGGATGAGAGAAGTGTGAAAAGTGAAAACAAAACAGATTTCCTAAATTTATGCACTTGCAGTTTTAGGTCTGTATAAGGGTTTGCCACCTTGTCAACTGAAACATTTAAAAACACTGATGTTGGACAATAAACAAAAAATCCCTGAAGATTCTAGTAGTTAAAGAGCTGAAATCACAAGTTTAACACTTCAGTATATCTTATCATGCAAGCTGCAGGTCTTAAAATGAAAAGTCATAGGGAATTTAATTCTATACTTTATTGAGGCCCAACAGTAAACAAACAAACAAACAAACAGAGATAGGAAATGTGCATGCAAGAAAATGAATTACTAAAAAAATAATTTACAGCAGTATCTATGTATATATTTATACATCGACTGAAGTCGCTTAAATGACTTGAATGCTGATATCAAGATTTGTTACCAGCAAAGGTGTGGAAAGGAAATTATAACAGATACATCATCTTCCACTAATATTTCAAAATTACCAATTCTGCTTTCAAAAATACTCATTTTCTTGGTCTGTACCTATAAGGGTTCTTGAAAAGGAGACAGTTTGTTCCAGTTAATAATTTTAACATGGAGATCACAGAATGAACTCACTGGTCATCAGTTTTTAAAATGGCAATGTTCATGTATTTCAATTTCAAATTTCACATTTTCCTCAACATCAGTACCACGAAACTTGGAAGTTTAAAACAAAAATCTAATTTTATGCCATGCATAAATTGTAAACAAGGGGCTTTACTTTACCTGAAAACATTCTGTACCAATCTGACAAAATGTAATTTAGGCCTTTGTTTTTGTATAGAGGAGCTATGTACCATAAATTTCACTGAAGGATTTTTGGCTCACTAATTTTTTTTCAGCAACATTGAAATCATGATTTTTCAAATAAAAATTTATCAACTGCTGTACCTAATGCATAATACATAACCAAGTTGTTAGGAATTTCAACTCCAAAATGGCGATATAGTAAACACATCGTTCAGGCATCAGGTATTGATATGAAATCTTTTAATGGCATAAAAGTTCCTGCAAGTAGCTACAAACTGAAGCAAGAAAATACCTTTCAAACGAAAACAATGTTAGGTCTGCTAGCTGCACTTTGTCAAACCACTCAAGTGAAGTGATCTGGTCATCCAATGTGCCACAGAGTCTGCATCTTCACTGAAACGTTTGTTTCCAACATTCAGAAATTTTAAGATATTTAAGATGAGATGCATAGAAAAAAATGTTTATTTCTGTACATACAATTTGGATAAATTAGACATACAAGCATTAAAGTAGTTGGACTGAGCTCAGCTTGCAAATATTCTGAATGACTGATTGGGATTAATGAAAAAAAATTGAAAAAATATTGTCAGACCAGATTTTCATGAATGCTTCTGTAGTAAGCTCAAAACCCAAAATTTTTACATTGTGCCACTGACAAGTTACTCCTGCATGGAAATTTCAGAACTTGAGGTATGTCTTATCAATTTATTAATTTGACAAAAGTATACAATTATAAATTACATTTTCTGAACATGTGGGATAGAGGTGATCAAATTAAGGCAACAATTAATAACCATACATTGTGTTGATAAACTGATATCTAGGTAAATAGCAAAGTGAAAATATTTCACAATGAAATTATGGTAGTCAGTTAATAAAATAGATATATAAAATTATCAAATGATACATTAAAAATGCTGCCTTTGGAAAACCCTAGTCCTCTTATCCTTCAAATAAAATTTTGGCTCACATGCAAATTAGGAAATATGTACAGTACACAGTTGGCTGCTAATATCCAAAAGCATGTATATGATCAAGATTTTTGGCAGAACTAAAACCCTTTAAGTGTTCTTTTGGCCATGAAAATCACAACTGCATTCATTCTAATCATTTTGTACAGTCTCCAAGACTGCAGCGATAAAGCCAAACTGCTGGTAATTTGTTCATTTAGAACAATACAATTATAAACTGTCAAGAAACTTTAAACATACAGAAATACATCAAAACTTGCCAACAGAGTTCCATACAACCTATCCATTTGGCAAAATATTTGTAAGATCTGTTTTTAAAAAAAAGTTGGTCACATCAATAATTGAGCTTTACAATGACATATTGGCAATGGCTTAGTTAATGTACTGCAAATGAACTGTCTTAGAAAGTACAAAACACCAGACGAATTGAACTATAAAGGGCATTAAAATACATTGGCAAAGGCTTCACAATTTTACCAGGACAACCTAATGATGAATCCCTTACCTGTACATTTTTTTAACCCATTAAAATATATCCTTGCCAAATACTGAGTTACACGGTAGGCTCTGGGGACGGCAAAGGAAAGGATGACAAAAAAAAAAGGTGCAAAAGTAGCAGCTCCAGTCACACTTCCACTTTACTGTTAACATTGGGAATGTTTCCACAAAAAAAAACATTTCATTCATTCCCATTCCGTAGTTCCAGGCGGTTTTGAAGTCAAGTCATACATGACACGGGAAATTCCAGGTATCTTCTTGATTTCTCTCACCATTTTTAAAATGACCTGACAAGGAAAAACAGGATTCTCGTTCATACTTAAATAAAAATAAAGCACTACAAATGCTGGAGATCTTAAATACATTGAGGAGCTCAACAGATCTGGCAGTAACAGTGGACAGATAGAAACAGAGTTAACATTTCAAATTTAATTTGATTTCTTTGGAACTTGACGATGCTACCAGACCCAAGTTTATCCACCACTTTATGCTTGTATTTCATTCATATCAAAAACATCCGCAGTGGAGAAAAGTGATCTTGTCCTAAATGACCTAGGTTTGAACTGATGATTTTTTAGGACAGCAACGAAAATGTTAACTGTTCCCTATGCGGAACTGGAGTAGTCTATCAATATTCCTAGAATAGTTCACTAACTGAAAATGCACAGTGTAGGGCACAAACAAAATTACACTCATTAATGATGCCCTCTATGATCCCCACATGTGGAAGAACAGTCATCTCAAAGAACAAACTAGTTTCTGAAAAAGTGTCCTAAAAATTTTATCCCAGGAACGTGAAAGCTCTGGAGGAGATAAATCTGAAGAAAATTTAAACAAAATACGCTATGTATATTTGCATCCTATCATAGTTTCAAGACCAAGTCAATGATAAAAATGGTTTAAATCAATAACAAATTGCTGCATTATCCTCTAAATTACTGTTGAAAAAGCTGGTACATTTTCCAATTAGTACAAAATTCAAATCTCACCTCTTCGGGAATGTGATTGCCAGGAGTTGCTGAGATGCCAGTCATGAAATCATTTGTAATGAAGGTTCGAATTACCACAGATCTCTGACAAGAGGGCTGCTTCTGGAGTGGGTCACGGTCAAAATGCAGTGGTGTTAAAACAATTGGCATCTGACTAATTTTCGCAGAGTAACCTATAAAGGCATATACACACCATACAATTAATAAAAAATGTTGACATTGAATTGAACAAATCTCCATATGCCAAGTAATTTCAGATTGTGTTAATTTCTATCCCCTGAAAAAGGGAAACTGGAAAAAAGATTACGAAAAATTGATATGAAATTTATATGGAAGCACCCAAAAATATCTTAATTGAAAAACACTATAGTGCAGTAGTTTGACTGAATGCATTGCACCTGGGGATGGAAGTATGCAACTACGATCTAAGCAAGCCGACAGCAACTAAGTCTGAGCAAAAGATGTTGCAATACTGCAAATTATTGGAACTGTTTCCCAAGAATATCATCGCATTCCAAACCAGCAAACGGTATCTTCTTGACCACCTCACTAATACATGAATGAAAAGGTTGGTGGTGTGGAGAACCAGTTTCCTTGCAACACCAAATTTCAGAAAATCAAAGTATGATTGTACCAATCTAATTTGTGGAAAGGAGGACACAACCTAATGCCACATACAAGTTTCTTAAGAATACTAACTATATTCCTACCAGACTCTCTCAGAATGTTATGCGCCTCAAAGTCAGCCTGCCGGAGCGTACTAAGCACTCCTGTTGTTAGGAAAGTTGGTGTTACATCTGTTATAGGTTCTCGAATCTGTGGTCCAAAAATATACACAACTCTGAAACACAAACATTTTCATTAGTACAGGACAAATTTATTATGGCTTGCAATAGTGAAAAGATTGCTCATACTTCTTATCAATAAGTACTGATTTTCACTTCTATATTTTAAGCTATTTAAAATACAAGAACAAAAACACAAACCTGTTAATATTATGACACATTCGTGGGATAAGTCGGGCTAGGAATATGAAGGAATCCCAGTGCGGCTGATCTTTACTAGATAAGCCACAAACGTAACTATACGTCCTACAGTCACCCTTCAAAAGATAAAAATATATTTTTCAGGAAAGCAAAGGTAATTTGATTTGAGATAGACTTCAGATTTCATTTGAATATATACACTATCCTAGAACTTAAATAAGTTGAAAATATAAAAATACACCATATTTTCTGTAAAATAGAAATTAATAATTACCAGGAGGTCAAGCTCTTAGCTGTCATGGTGAAAACATTTATATATTAACTCCTCCAACTCAGTACAATTGAGTTCACACAGAAACAAATACCCAGTTACAGGAAGAGTAATTTGCATCATCCAGTGCCAACTCACACCTAAGATGCACATTACTTCCCATGGGGTAGGTGATAAATTTCCAGATTATCCAATTTATTGTGGAAAGCAGTTAAATTCAGATTTTCTCAAGTACAATGAGATATTTAAAACAATGTACAATAAATTGAGTATTTCAAAAAATGCCAAGTACATTAAATTCAATAATCTACACCAATCCATTTACATTTCCAGGCCATAATACTTTGAACATTCAATTTTATCCAAAAAGAATAAATACAAACTAAATGGCATTTGAGACAACAAGGTGCAGGGCTGGATGAACACAGCAGGCCAAGCAGCA